CGAGCAAAACACGCATCCGTCCCTGGTAGATCCCATAGATCTTACAGTAAATATAGCACATATTATATGAACCATGGTTTCTCGGTGAGTATCAGTAATGTAAGACCTTCGCCCCTCGATGTCTGCCCTCGGCTTCGCCTCGGGCAGACATCTCGGGGCTCAGGTCTTACATTACTGATACACACCTCGAAACCATGGTTTATATAGTACATGTACATGTATGCAAATTGTTTTAACCAATTTTAATGCTTTTCACATTTTGCATAACAAAAGTACATGCATGTACAATGTACATGTACATGTACATGTATGCATGAATGAAACAATTAAACAACATGTACATAAAACATATCAATTATGTTTATGTACACATACAACAAGCAATAAGCAGTGTGTGCAAATACATGTAAGAGATACAACGTAGTTAAATGTACATGTCCTTTTAATTTACTGTCCACGTCTAAATTTAATTTACTTTTAATTTACTGTCATTTAAATGTACATATCAGGTATACATATATACATGTACATAAATGAACAGGACAAAAATGAATAATGTTTGCATGTACATACATGTACTTGCATGGAAAAAAACTAACTCAATTTGTACGAAGTTTTTGAGATTATCACTGGCTCCAAGTAGTTTAACATGACTGATTGAATATGACACATTAGTTAACTGCACCTTCTTTTTATATACTTTTCCAACATCAAAATCCTAAAGTAACACACAAGTATAGAAAAATAATGGATCTGCCATGCTACAAAAATGAGAGCTAGCCTACATGCATACCATGTACTGTATATGTACAATGTACATATTCACATGTACATTTACAGTATTTCCAGTTCCTCCTGCATGATAAAGACTAATGGTGTAAAAGAGACATGCTCAATGTTACAATCCTACAATATTGGCATCTTTTATCTTTCTCGTTTCTCCAGTGGCAGGCTTTAATACATGTAGCTGACTTACATGTATTATTTACTGTAGATTGTATGATATATAATGTACATGTACATGTCCATGTACATGATCATTGTGTGTGTAAATACATGTACAATTCATAGCCGTAAAAAGTACAATTCAAACAATCATTTTTCCCATCGGAATTGTTACATGCATGTACAGTATGTGTACATGTGTAAATGTGGGTATATGATACTGTACCTTAAATATAATTTCTTCTGGTTTGCTGAGAAATGAATGTTCTCCCTGATAGTAATACATGTAATCAATAACAAAGTAGTGTACAGGTATAATACCTTGAATACTTTTCCTGCAGCAACTTGAGTAGATATCACACTTTCTTTTAGCTTCGTAAGCCTCTTTTCCATTATAGACTAGATTATAACAATTTTTGATATAAAAAATAATAGAAAATAAAACAGTATGTGTATACAAACAATTTATGAGCTGTGGTTTTAAAACAGAAAGAACAGCAAGACATGCACATATGCAGTTTCATAATTATTGTACAGTATACAAAATAAGCTTACTAGAGTAATTTCCTTTAATTTAGACATAGGCCTCTTTATACTCCCATCAATAAACAGTAAAGGCATGCATGTACATGTGCAGCTCCTTCTCATTAAGCACATGTGTATGCATATGTATATATATATGTACATTACAAGTACATGAAAATGTAAATGTAAAAGTACATGCATGTACATGTGCCTGTGTGGCCCTGTAATTATAGTTAATGCACGCAACACAAACCTGCTCCATTTTGCTTCGTTTAATTTGTTTTGCTAGTTTCTGCTCTGATTTTGGCTCCCATAAACCAGGTATATCTGGTTGAAGTAGTGTCTTCTTCCTAAAAGTACATGTACTTGTACATGCATTAACAAAAAAATTCAACTCTCCCTACATGCTATAATTTATGACTTAAACATAATTAAAATGACAAACAAGTACAATGTAATGAATAATTATTATCATGTATGCACTCCATTTTATTTTCTCATTGCATAATAAATATACTTTCTCTATATGTACTCTATCTTACATAGCCATATCTTTTGATGGCAGCTTCTTAATTGAAGTATCACTACCAGTTTCATCTGCAGGTACATTCTCTTCATTACTTTCAGTAACAGTAACTAATCCATCCTCTTCATTTTCATCACTTGTTTCAAGTTTAATTCCTGTTTTCTATATGTGCACATACACGTACATTACATGCAGAAATGATAATTACATCTACATTTATGTCAAACGCAGTGTATAAAGTACTTTTGTGGTAGCTCTATCTTTCTTCTGTGCTAAATCTTGATGTTCCTGTTGTTGCGATTGTTTAGATAATCTCTTAGTTTCATCCAATAGTTGAGAAATGATCTCAGCCTAAAAGTACAAGGGTTAGAATTTTTCAAAAATTCACTGGCTTAAGAGCTGCAGTGATTTTGAGTAAAACATAAACTGGTTTGTTTTTGTGGTAAAATATTTTCGTGCAACAATTTTCATAAAATTTTCTGAATACATGCATGTACTGTACATGTACATGTAGTTTACAATCCATGTGGCAATAAATAATTTTTCATTTTAACTTATGCAATAGAGACACAATGGCAAGAAAAATGCAAAAGTCACAGAAAATGTTTCACTTAAAAAAACCTTGGTGATATACAATGTACAGAGTACATGTGTATCTATATACAAATACTTACAGCATAAATGTACAACATTAAACATGCTTGTGTAACAAAGTACATGTATATACCGTACTTGTCTCCTTTTAATTTTCTGCTCAAAAATCCTACAAGCATAAAAGAAAGTATGAATCACTATGCATGTTATATGTTACAATGTACATGTATATTCTAAAATGCTACATGTACATGTGTATATCTTACTGTTTTTCTTTGCTTAATTGCTCTAGTCTTTTTCTTTTTAATATAATAACAGTGGGATCCTCTCCTCTCATTTCCATCGCCAGTTTTGACTTCTCTTCCTCTTCTTCCTTCAATTTAGTCTTTTCTTTTTCTTTTAGTAGTGACTGATGAGCACGCATTGATTCCTAATAATTATAGATTCATTTCATGAGTATGCTTGTATCCTTGTACACATACATGTATATGTATATTATAGAATATTACACAATGTTAATATACTGTATAGCTAGAAAATTCGGTGGAGTGAAAATTCGGTGGAGTAAAACTTTGGCGAATTTGGCAAATTAAGGTCCATTTGACAAACTTTTAGTCTACAATTTGATTTTAACTTTCAAACCTCTTTCAGAGTCAGTTTGCCAAATATTAGCACTCCAAATTTTCTAGCTATATGGCAAACATGCATGTACATGTACATGTATTTGGAACCTACATGTACATGTACATGTATATTGGTACATTTCAATATTTGTTGTACATGTGTACATGTACATTACATGAATGTACAAGTAAATGTATATAATGCATGCCAACTGAGGGATAGAAGTACATGTACAAATAGACAATGTACATGTACATGTATGTGATCTCAAATTTGTTGAATTTCATGTATACTGCATGCATACATTGTACATGTACATGTACATGTAATGCATGATAAAATGAAGTGTAACCGTACATGTGCATGTACTGTACATGTAAATGCAATATAAGATAAAGCACGCAATTACTTGACTAGATTCAATATTTTTCTTTAAACTAAGTAAAGCTTTTATCCTTGTCTTTCTATCTTCAAGCTCTATCTCTTCATTAGCAGCTCTTTCTATCCTAAGTCTAACATAAAGGTACAAGATTAACCATGAAAATTAATATCATTTTTTAATTTTTGTACTTTGCTGATTTCTCTCGTAGATGTTGTTGAAGTTTCTCTCCTTTCTGTGTAGACTGAACAGTTTTAATGGCTGCAACCTTTCGATGTCTTTTGTCTCTTTCATCTTTTAAGTCTCTTCTTTGAGCCTCAATCACTTCTCTAGTCTGTGTCTGCACTCTTAGTAATCCTATAAATGTACACAATGCATTAGGTTTCAATGACATGTACATGCAGAATCAAAATGTATGTATACACAATCCAATTATGGCATGCATGCATGCACTCTCAAATAATGTAGATGTGCATGTACATGTACCATACAAAATAAGATGAGAAACTTCTAGGGCCTTCCTTACATATAGTACTCTTCCCAACACAGAATGAATCAAGTACACGTACAAGGAAATTTTGTAATTGCTTCTGCTCTCATGAGCAAGCTCTCTCAGATGGCAGGGCCATTGAAACAATATACTGTACACTAAATGTACATGTACATATACATGTATATGTACTATATAATATGCTGACTAGTCAAAGACACATATACATGTACTGTACATGGATGATTACATCTTTACTTATAAATTATTGACAATTTGTTTTGGTAAGAATGACAAAAAAATTTAAGATTGTAATGATAATTAAATCTTTGGCAATCTACATGTCTCAATTACCAGTAAGTGTATAATGTATTGAGGACATAACCACATCCATAAATTCAAAAGTCATAATGCAGTAGCATGTACAGTATGTACCGTACATGTATATGATGTACATGTATATGTATATACATGTACATGTATATGTATTTATACATGTACATAGGCCAAACAATTCTTGTACCTTGTTTGTGCTTGTGCTGTTGTATTATCATCTTCTGTTGTTGATAAAATGATGATGGATCACTACATTCAGTTGACTGTAGTAGCTGGGCCTCTAACAGATCAAGCCTACACGTGTACACATACATGTATACATGAACATTACAGGAAAGGCTACAATTATAGCAGCTACATTAATTTTGTCTACAATGTGAGGCAGCAAGTGCAAATTCAAACGGAACCTTTTCTAAATAGTCACTGTGCTACATGTACTTAAAATCCAATTACAACTATACACAGTACATGTACATGCATGCATATGTACATGCATGCATATGTACAGTACTTGCAATCATTTCTGATTTATGCAAGATACATGTACATCTACATGTAGAAAATATTGATAACCCAAATTAATATACATGCATGTACATGTACTTTACAATTTGGAAAGAAAACTATTGGAAGAACAAATCTATTGACCAGTACATGCATGCACATGTACATGTATATAAAAATCTATTGATAAGAAACTCACTCAAGTTGACTTATTTTAATTTTAAGATCATCTTCATGACATTGTTTTACTGATAATTCTTTTCTTGTTTTCTCTAACTGTTGCTTAGCTAGTCCTGAATCATTCAAAGGCCTTAAAGGGGAAAAAATGAAGAGTAATCTGGCAATTGAGTTGACTTATATGCTACATCTGTAGCACAAAAGTAGCATAGCACACACATCTATACACATTAGTTACTGCATGTACTTTATTGTACAAGTACTACATGTGCATATACATGCACTAGTACAATCATACTTAGTCTGTTCAGGTGACTCTTCTTCTAGCAGTAAACCTGATTCAATCTGATAACATTCAGTTTTTAACTTCCTTGCACTTTCTCTGCACTGAGACAGCTTTTTCCTATAACAGAAAAACATAACAGTTTCAAAAATTACATACTGTGATTTAATTTTTTAATTGTACATGTACATCTACATGTACATGTACATGTGTATGTCTATCTAAATTCTTCTATCATTTTTCATCTTGCCAAATAAGAGTCAAAGTAAAAATTTCCTGACATACAATGTACATGTACATGTAGATGCACAGTATCTCACATGTACTGCATGTGAACATGCATTGATTACATTGCTTGATGTAATTCTGCTTGCTTTTCCTCCAAGTTGTCATTCATTTGAGCCATGTTGGATGATAATTTGTAAAATTCTTTTACTTCCTACAAAATAACATGAAAAAGTAATTATAAATCTGTAAATATACACACAGTACAGCAAGAAATTAAACACAGTACATGTACATGTACATTGTACTTGTAGCCTACATGTAGCTTGTACATGTACCGTAATTCCTCTAAATATTCGACGCTCTAAATTTGAAAATAAATAATTATTTCAAAATTTCTACCATAATTCATTCTAAAAATTCGTTTTTAATATTATTGTTCAACGTGGTTCTAATTTCATCACTTGGCTAAGTTCAGTATGAGAGAAGGATACTCTGAACAGCCAGGTTAGTATACAGCTGGTTTTGTGTATTATTGGATCCCTCCAAATTCAACAAAATAATTTATTTATAAGCTTCATAGCTACTCTCCCTCTAAAATTTTGTTTTTAAAAATTACAAATACAAAACTTGATGTGACAAATTTTTAGAGGAATTACGGTATATTTATATTTACTTTTCTGTTAAGCTTCTGCTGTTTCTTCACATTAACCGATGAAGATTTAGGTGGATCAGTTATACTGCCACTGTCATCCTCAAAATAAGAATTAGTGTTAAGAGGGACACTCTCTTCCTCTCTTTCTTCATAATCTTCATATTCATCAGAAAGGCCGCCTCCAAGTTCATTCTCACTACTGCTACTACTGGTGGTTGTAATGCTCTGATCAAAACCTAAATGTACATGTACATGTACAGTATATGCAATCAATCACATGCACAAATCAAGATACATGTACATGCATGTAATTTAGTATAAGAATAACCCTCCTAAACTCCTAAAGTAATGTACATGTACAATGTACAGTACATGCACATATCGTATACATGTAGCTTGAGGGACTTACATGTACATGTGAACTTTGTGCTAATAAAGCAAAACTTTAAGTACATGTGCACATACATGTACATGTATATCATGAATTTAATTTTGCTGGTGAAGGTGGGAGCTGTTGATACATGTACATGTACATGCATACCCATTAAATAATGCTTTGTGAAATGATGCATAGCAAACAGTGATCACTAATCAAGATACATGTAGCATATACATGTACCATGTAGCCAGAAAATTTCCAGAGACTTAACTTTTGCTAATTTCATGGTTTTGTTGAAATTTGTAAATTAAAATCTGTGACAGTAGTGACAAGTAGTCTCCCGCAGCCACACTCTCCACCCCTTTTTGACTTTTGGATGGCGTCCAAAAGTCAAAAAGCGAGACTAAGTGACAAAATGGTGGAACACCTTGATTTACAATAGCAATGCATGGCCAGTATCTCTGGCTGGCAGTACAGAGAATATATTAGATACAATAAGTGATTGTTCAAGTTACACAGTGAATGACTTCACAATATTGAAGGTGAGAACCCTTCAGTAACATGCTGAACATGCAATTTATTTTGATACCAATTACAACAAAAATTCGATTACACAGTTAAATAAAATGACTTGCCTTCGCTGTTCAAATCCTCCTGTGAGGACAAATCTTGGTATCCTTCGATTATTTCGTCCATTATAGTCCGTTACTATGGTAACGGCATGAAAGGGTTAAAAATTATTTATAGCAATGGATGCAATGGGTGATTGGGTTTTAGCTCGGGTTTTAGACTCAAGGATAGCTCAAAGAATGGTAACTAAACTATAAACACTACATGTATTAGATGATGTAAATATACTTTTAGATGTACTATCTGGTGAGAGTCAGACTCAGTCTGGTCTAGACTGTCTAGTACATAAATAGCTGGAATATTATGTATATATACATATAATGTTATAAGTGATATAGATCTAGATCTTGATTCCCGGCCACGAGGAGTTTGAAGCATTGAACTTGAAGTAACACTAAGATTAACAGTTGAATTTTACTAATAGAATATATATCCTTTGTCATTTGAACATTATTTCTTTTCAAAATTTTCACTTAATTGTTTGTTGGCTGAAAGCACAAAAATTTTATTGAATGTGTCTGGTGGTTTTGAAATTTTTCTATTATATGTACATGTATGCACAGTGCCGTTCTTCAGCTCATATTTTACATGTACATGTATGTACATGTAGTTTTATGAGAGGCAAAACTTTGGCTAAGGCATACTGTGTAGTCGTGTACCATCTGCAATAGGCAGAGGGTTATGTTAGCCATCTTGAAGTAGACTGTACAAGAAATAAAATATTAACTATTTGTATAGTTGTCCTTTACACGATTTATCATTATCAAAGAAAATTGGATTTTTGGACTTAACTTAAAGCCAAATTGCTAGAGAGATAATTAAGGCTCTGAAGAATATGTACTATAGGTAATATGTTTCCAAGTAGTAAAAACTTCAAGGGAATACAGGGATTACAGGTGGTTTTTGTTGTGCTTTTGGATTCCTTTACAAAAGTAGTGAGACATTACCTTTAGAATAAATAAAAATATTTACTGGCAGTTTATATACATGTACATGTACTGTGTGATACACATGAGAGACTTATTGAAGGGCTTCTACAATGGCGCAAGTTTGACTGAAAGTATACATCTTAGCAACTTATTTTCTCTCTTGTATGGAAAAGTACTATTAAAGTCCAATAGTATGCTAAGTACATTTTGTGTGTCAATAAATGAGCTTGTTGGCAGGCTATAGTAATATTCTAATGTATGTGTTCATTTTGCTTATGAATGGTTGCACACTTATTGTACTACAGATTCACGCCCAAGAACTGAAAATTACATCTTCCTTCTCTCTCATGCAGTTATGATCCTATAGAACTCACATAATTCTTCTTTTATTTTCTATGCTTATTCAGGTACATGTACGTGCATGTATATACATGTACATTGTAGGTACCGTACTTGTATACATGTACATACATACATGTACATGTACATATATGCATGTATTTGACATGTGGCAAGTTTTGGTATTGTCTTGTTAGATTGAGCTTAATATTTGTGACCTAGCTTTTATAGGGTATTGGGTTGTTGATATGAGTGAAGTGGGAAAAAATGGTTTGTGAAGGACGTACACCTCAATTTTGGCTATGCCATTTTTGAAGCCTTTTCTGTCCATTTTTAACAATTTCAGTTGTTATGCTTAGTGTGTTTATCATACATGTCATGCATTGTACATGTACAGTGTAATTTGCAGGACAATAGAACAACTGATGTGTTCTTATTAAGCCACCCAAGCAAGCTACATGTACATGAATAAGCAAGTTAATCAAGTTATACCATACATAATCAATAATTTTTCTATCATAATACATGTATTTGGCTGATTATTCTGGTACTACAACTATGCATACCATTGTCAGGAGTGTTGTATATACTGTATGTACAATGTATATGTATTGTACATCTGTATGCATTTAGACGTATAATTATGCATGAATGCTCTGCGCACAATAAATCCGCACAGAGAAGAAATCCCCTATGCAGCTGGATAAATCCCCTATGCGGCTGTATTGTTAGGAATATGTTCTGTTCCCACCTGTCATAATATTAGTAACCTTATGACTGTTTTTGCTGTATACTCTGTGTTATGCCGATCCACATTTCAGCTTCTGAGAATGGATAGGAGGGCAATGGGTTGAGTCATGCAGTTCAAATTTGCTTTCATTGTATGTATAGTCACACATGAGACTTTATGTATGTTTTTTACATTTACATGCATGTACATTGTGCATGAGTGCTTACACACCTACTCTGTATTGTAGATACAGTGTATGTGCCCAGAGATTTTGAAATGACATGTTCCTCTTCTCTCAACTTTGATTTTCATGAATACATGTAGGTAGTACAATTGCACATGTAAATTTGTACATGTACATGTATATATTTGAGCTAATTCTGAAACCCAAAATAGCAAGTTAAAATTGAGTATTATACTGATATAGATTTACCAGTATACATGTACATATAGTGTCAGCAGGTAGGACTAAGATAGAGCGATAGCCAACAAATATGGATATACTGAATCGACAATGACAACAATAATCAAAGAGCTCTTTTAGAATAAAGTGTGTGCTTATAGATATCAGAGAATTAAGTTCTAAAGTGTTCTCTTCAGGCAAGCCTGTGTCAGCAGAATTTTATATGCATTCTAGTGTTAGGTTTGCAATACTAACAATTCATTTAAATGTCACAGTTTTGAACATGTTGCTAATGCTTGCCTGTACATACATGTACATGTACATAAAACATTGTGTGTTTTATAGATATACACATGTACATGTATGCATCTTCAATGTTCATGTACACAGACACTAAATTACATGTACACATTAGATTTACTGTTATTGCTTGTGGTCAATCAAATATGAGTAATGGTATAAATTAAAAAGTTGAGTAATAGCAAGGGGATTTTTAAGGATGAGTTTCCTTTAAAAGTATGTCTAGTTTACATGTACAGTACATGTAGTGGTTGAAGGTTTCCCTGCAGTAGTGGTAGAAAGTTAGAAACTTGTCTCATGTGGAATTGTGAATGGCAAGTAAATACATTTTTAGCATAATGTGCTGTAATTAAAAGTATATGTACTTGTAAATGACAATTTTTTCATTTAATATAAGTATCATCCTGTTTTTTACTTTGGTATTTTATTACATGTACATGTAGGTACATGTACATGTACATGTACAAATTTAAATGTACTTTAGTGTATGGATGTGCTTATAATGTACATGTACATGTAGTATAAAGTAAAAACTATAATACTTGTACGTACACGTATATGCTATCAGGACTCCTGATACTATGCATATACATGTACATGTACATGTATTTTTCATTGTGCTGTGTTTTAGAATTTTTTTTGCTTTTACCGTCCATCATAATATTTGTAACCTTTGACTCTTTTGCTTTATGTGTACATGTACTGCAGTATGCTCTATGTATAAATGTCATATTGCAACATTTACTATGGTACTCAAATATTAAATAAAAGCAAGGTTATTTTTCAGGAGGAGTTTCATAGTAGAAACATGTCTAGTTTACATTGTACTGTACATCTATGTACATTTTACATGTATGTATGCTGTGGTCAAAAAGTACCTTTAGTCAGCATTAGCAATCCTGACTCAGCAGAGTATTAGCTGTCAATTTTGATACTGATAAAAGAATGCTGTGTTAGAGAAACTTTATCATTTTGCATTGTCATTGTAATATCTGTACTTTGTGGGGATTTCTAAAGAATTCCCCTCTTAGTATCTTACAATGGTTGAAACTAGGAAACAGTTTAGTTTAGAAGGCATTACATGCACAGGTACATGTACATGTACTTGTAAATGTACATGTAGTTTCATCATAAACAATGGTAGTGTAATAGTAATAGTAAAAGATAATCAATATGAAAAATGGTAAACATTATGTACAGTACATTGTATGTACATGTACATGTACATGACTACACTTACATGTATTTAATTTCATTATTTTGCTTGTGACACACCACATTCTGTATATTGTTTGTTAAAGCTCTCACAAAGTTTTTATGGTATGTATAGGTATCAAATTCTTACAGTAGAGCTTCTATATTTCACAGAACATTGTGACCGCATTACATGTTACCATAATTATTCAGGTGTTTTTATTTCAGAGATACTTTCGTATAGTTTTGTAGGACAAAAGTTTATATGCATGTACTCTTACTGATGCAATCAACTTGCATGTCCTCATTGCAAGAGAAAGAATACTATATACATACTCTCTTGATACTCATAAAATTTACATGTGCAATGTGCTTGCATATCAATATAATTATTCTGGATGTTCTCTAGTATTGTTTCATAAAAACACAATGACTTAAGGCGGGTTCTCAATATGACGCATTGTTTTTTATGCACTAGCGTCATGACCGGAAGTGCTGTATAAACCAATGGAAGTATGCGTCAATGCATCAGAATAGAATTGTTTTCTAATCTGATGCATTCACACATGCTCCCATCAGTATTCATATAGCACTTCCGGTCATGACGGACATGCATGCGTCATATTGGACACCCGCCTTAAGTAGTGGTTATACCTTGTACAGAAAATGAAAGTACAGTATCTATGTTTGTACATGTACACAAAAACTTAATCGTATTCACTTAATTTAATTTTAGATGCCTTCTAGTATTAGGTTTCAATACATTGTTAACATGTTACTAATGCATGCATGTACATGTATAAACCATCGTGTATTTTATGAATGTATGCATCTTCAATGTTCATGTACATACATGTATACCACGAATTTCTGTATATAGCTAAAAAATTTGGAGTGCTAAAATATGGCGAATTGACTCTAAAAGAGGTTTGGAGGTTAAAATTTTGGCAAAATTTTAACTCTGTGTATGCCTCTATGGAGCCTTATCAGATGAAAAATTTGGCAAATGGACCTCAATTCACCAAATTTGCCAAAGTTTTACTCCACCAAATTTTTTAGCTATACAGCCCAGTACATGTTCATGTACATGTATGTACCTATAGGGTTAGATCTACTGTTATTGCTTGTGGTCAATCGAGTATAAGAGTGTAATGAGTGGAGTGACGGCAAGGGGATTTTTCAGGAAGAGTTTCCTTAAGAAATATGTCTAGTTTACTGTACAGTACATGTTGGGGTTGAAGGTTTCTCTACAGTAGTGGTAGAAACCTGTCTCATGTGGAATTGTGGAAGGCCACAAGTACATGTAATATAACTTCAGTATTGCATTTTTAGCTTAATGTGTTGTAATTAAAGGTACTTGTAAAGAACAATTGTTTCTTTAATATTACCTGTTTTTCACTTTAGTAGTAAGGTACATGTACATGTAATCATACATGTATGTACATGTACTTTAATTGGTGTATGGCTCTGCTTATAATGTACTATAAATTAAAAACAATAATTGGTACATGTATACTGTCAGGACTCCTGATACTATACATATGCTTATATATTTCATTGTGCTGTGGTTTAGAATTTTTTCTTGCTTTTACTATCCATCATAATATG